GAACACTTCCAAATCCGTATAGCCCCTAATCTGAGCTTTCTATGCCTTTATAGAGCTTAATTCTGGAAAAGCCATAAAACGCTCTGAAAATCATTGTAAATGACGTTCTTGGAGACTAGAAGGCTAGCTAAAAGGTTTATCGTCGGCCTGGTAAGCAATCGGAAACAATCACCAGGTCATTGCCATGGGACAGGTCGTAGATCGATCGCCGTTCCATGCTGGTATGGTTATAGTCGAGGGGTCTTTCTGGAGATACTGTCAAACGACCTAGAGCTATTGGCTCGTCTAAATGAGCCTGGTGGATTAGAGTCGACTAAGACTGCAGATGTTCCTCAATTACCTCAGTCGCCGTTTGTGAACTGTAGAAACTGAAAACCTCAGAATCTGTAGAACTGGAGACTATTTGGGACTTTCGATCCCTTAGCTAGGCTTACGAATTTTTTGGCACTTTAAAGACTTTGGAGCATTTAAATACGGCGACGGCTCGGCCGTCTCAGAAATCCCTGAAGGATCTCTGAATCCGTGGTGGCTTGGGAATCTTTGAAAGTTTTAGAGATTTTGGAATCTTTAGTACTTACCAAAGATCTCCAGCAAAGCAGAGGTGACTGTGGCGACCGTACCGCATGCACATACGACAGTACACTAAAAGGTGCTGCCAATTGATGGGAGCGTATGCTGGGGGGTATTCCATATCCCCAGGTCCCCCGGCACTGAGTTCTTCCACAAGAGTAGAGTAAGTTTGATGGCGTTTTCTCGCAAATTATCGTAAGAGTGCTAAACATTAGATATGTTATGGAAATACATAGCACCGGGGGGCCTGGGGGGTATGGAATACCCCCCAGCAATGTTCTCAGTAAAGAGTAGAGTAAGTTTGATGGTGTTTTCTCGCAAATTACCGTAAGAGTGCTAAACACTAGATATGTTGTGGAAACACATAGCACCGGGGGGTCTCAATGTTCTCAGTAAAGGTGAAGTTGATAATTTTGTTTATAGGTATTACCCCTAGCACTGTCATAGCCTTTGTAAAAAGGATAATCAGATTCTTGTTTACTCGGGGTATTCCAGCTTCGGGGCTTAGCGTACTTCGGAAAAAGTTTACCACCGGGAGGTCGGGGGGGTATGGAATACCCCTAGTATACTACGAGATTTTCGTGCGTATGCTTTCATGATTGTATGAAAGGGTAATCAGATTTTAGTTTACTGGGGGGGTATTCCAGCTTCGGGGCTTAGCGTATTTCCGAAAAAAACTTACCATTTGGGGGTTTGGGGGTATAGAATACCCCCTAGTATACTACGAGATTTTCGTGCGTATGCTTTCATGATTGTATGGAAAGGGTAATCAGATTCTTGTTTATTGGGGGGTATTCCAGCTTCGGGGCTTAGCGTATTTCCGAAAAAAACTTACCATTTGGGGGTTTGGGGGGTATAGAATACCCCCTAGTATACTACGAGATTTTCGTTCGTATGCTTTCATGATTGTATGCAAAGGGTAATCAGATTCTTGTTTATTGGGGGTATTCCAGCTTCGGGGCTTAGCGTACTTCGGAAAAAGCTTACCCCGTGGGGTATGGAATACCCCCTAGTACAATACGAGATTTTCGTGCGTATTCTTTCACGATTGTATGGAAAGGATAATCAGATTCTTGTTTACTCGGGGGTATTCCAGCTTCGGGGCTTAGCGTATTTCCGAAAAAAACTTACCATTTGGGGGTTTGGGGGTATAGAATACCCCCTAGTATACTACGAGATTTTCGTGCGTATGCTTTCATGATTGTATGGAAAGGGTAATCAGATTCTTGTTTATTGGGGGGTATTCCAGCTTCGGGGCTTAGCGTATTTCCGAAAAAAACTTACCATTTGGGGGTTTGGGGGGTATAGAATACCCCCTAGTATACTACGAGATTTTCGTTCGTATGCTTTCATGATTGTATGGAAAGGATAATCAGATTATTGTTTACTGGGGGGTATTCCAGCTTCGGGCCTTAGCGTATTTCCGAAAAAAACTTACCATTTGGGGGTTTGGAGGGTATAGAATACCCCCTAGTATACTACGAGATTTTAGTGCGTATGCTTTCATGATTGTATGGAAAGGGTAATCAGATTCTTGTTTATTGGGGGGTATTCCAGCTTCGGGGCTTAGCGTATTTACGGAAAAAACTTACCATTTGGGGGTTTGGGGGGTATAGAATACCCCCTAGTATACTACGATCTTTTCGTGCGTATGCTTTCATGATTGTATGGAAAGGGTAATCAGATTCTTGTTTACTGGGGGGTATTCCAGCTTCGGGGCTTAGTGTATTTCCGAAAAAAACTTACCATTTGGGGGTTTGGGGGGTATAGAATACCCCCCCTAGTATACTACGACATTTTCGTGAGTATGCTTTCATGATTGTATGGAAAGGGTAATCAGATTCTTGTTTATTGGGGGGTATTCCAGCATCGGGGCTTAGCGTACTTCGGAAAAAGCTTACCACCGGGAGGTCGGGGGGGTATGGAATACCCCTAGTATACTACGAGATTTTCGTGCGTATGCTTTCATGATTGTATGAAAGGGTAATCAGATTTTAGTTTACTGGGGGGTATTCCAGCTTCGGGGCTTAGCGTATTTCCGAAAAAAACTTACCTTTGGGGGTTTGGGCGGTATAGAATACCCCCTAGTATACTACGACATTTTCGTGCGTATACTTTCATGATTGTATGGAAAGGGTAATCAGATTCTTGTTTACTGGGGGGTATTCCAGCTTCGGGCCTTATCGTATTTCCGAAAAAAACTTACCATTTGGGGGTTTGGAGGGTATAGAATACCCCCTAGTATACTACGAGATTTTAGTGCGTATGCTTTCATGATTGTATGGAAAGGGTAATCAGATTCTTGTTTACTGGGGGGTATTCCAGCTTCGGGGCTTAGCGTATTTCCGAAAAAAACTTACCATTTGGGGGTTGGGGGGTATAGAATATCCCCTAGTATACTACGAGCTTTTCGTGCATATGCTTTCATGATTGTATGGAAAGGGTAATCAGATTCTTGTTTATTGGGGGGTATTCCAGCTTCGAGGCTTAGCGTATTTCCGAAAAAAACTTACCCTTTGGGGATTTGGGGGGTATAGAATACCCCCTAGTATACTACGACATTTTCGTGCGTATGCTTTCATGATTGTATGGAAAGGGTAATCAGATTCTTGTTTATTGGGGGGTATTCCAGCTTCGGGGCTGAGCGTATTTCCGAAAAAAACTTACCATTTGGGGATTTGGGGGGTATAGAATACCCCCTAGTATACTACGACATTTTCGTGCGTATGCTTTCATGATTGTATGGAAAGGGTAATCAGATTCTTGTTTATTGGGGGGTATTCCAGCTTCGAGGCTTAGCGTATTTCCGAAAAAAACTTACCATTTGGGGATTTGGGGGGTATAGAATACCCCCTAGTATACTACGACATTTTCGTGCGTATGCTTTCATGATTGTATGGAAAGGGTAATCAGATTCTTGTTTATAGGGGGGTATTCCAGCTTCGGGGCTTGATGATTGTATGGAAAGGGTAATCAGATTCATGTTTATTGGGGGGTATTCCAGCTTCGGGGCTGAGCGTATTTCCGAAAAAAACTTACCATTTGGGGGTTTGGGGGGTATAGAATACCTCCTAGTATACTACGACCTTTTCGTGCGTATGCTTTCATGATTGTATGGAAAGGGTAATCAGATTCATGTTTATTGGGGGGTATTCCAGCTTCGGGGCTGAGCGTATTTCCGAAAAAAACTTACCATTTGGGGGTTTGGGGGGTATAGAATACCTCCTAGTATACTACGACATTTTCGTGCGTATACTTTCATGATTGTATGGAAAGGGTAATCAGATTCTTGTTTATTGGGGGGTATTCCAGCTTCGGGGCTTGCATGATTGTATGGAAAGGGTAATCAGATTCTTGTTTATTGGGAGGTATTCCAGCTTCGGAGCTTAGCGTATTTCCGAAGAAAACCCCCTAGTATGCTACGAGGTTTTATAGACCGCTCTTTAAGTCGATTTACTTTAGAAGGTTCAAAAGCAGGCCCTTAGGAAGCCTTTTTATTTCATTGTCAGGCTGGTCCGAGCACCTGTGGTCATCTTATGGCTTTCCAATTTCAGTATTTCAGTGTCTCTCCACACCTCTCTCGCGTTTCCCTTAATCGTGTTGGATTTTCAGAAGTTTCCGAAGTTTTTCCAAGCTTGTGTTTTCTATTGCGTTTAGAGTGCTTTTTAGACTCACGCAAATCCTGAAAGAAACCAGTTCAGAGTTCCTGAAATTACCACTGGGTCTTTGGAAAACAATGGAAAATGCTTTGGAAAGCGGTATAATGCTTTGAATAGCCTAAGAAATAAGTTCGATGGTAATCAGGCACTTCTCAGGTTTTTATAGTGTCTTTTCTTGCCATAGCCTGAAGTCTAAGCCAGGTTTTCCTAAGGTTTTTTAGGTATATTACAGAGGTTTTTAAGTACTTCCCTTTGTAAACACTTCCCAATACTTCTTCAGACCCGTCTCATTATTTATAGGCTCTGCCCATACGCATCAAACTCTGGAAACGACCTAAAAATGTCTGCCAAAGACGCAGAAAATTATGAAAGGTTGTTTTTAAGGGCTTTCAAATGCCCCCAAAGGTATATAAAAATACTGGAAAAGAATACGTGGCGAAAAACTGTACTTAAAACCTTTAAAATGAGATTATCTTGAGAACGAAAGATCGAAAAGGGTACTTGCAAAGGAAAAAGGGAAGGTATGGCCCTTAATTTTGTTGGAAACTTAGGAAATCTAAACTACTGAATAGGAAATTAAGAAAAGCAGAACACGAGGGGAATTTTCCTTGTGCACTCTTCCTTGTGCAGTCTGGAAGCTCCGGAAACTTTAAGCTTTCCTTTCTAGAAAACTGTTGTAGGCTGGAAGACTAACTTCTAAAATCTTAATTTTTACATATTCTAGGTTAGAAGACAACTCAAAGCAGTATCTAACGTTATTAATTGTTGCAGCTGATCTGCATCTTCCCAAGGATAATCTCCCCGTGGCCGGTGTCCGGGGTAACTCTATGGATGGGTCAACTTCAAGACGTCCTCATACCGGTCGGTTTGGGTTTGGTCGACACCCGCTTCTGCAAATGGGTCTCGAAGGTCTACAAGTGCGCCGAGAGATGCAAACACAGTGAGAAAATACCTCCAGGTGGTAAGTGAGGCGGTTTCCGACAACGATTGACGTACTCCCCGCTTTCAGTCGGCCTCGACGGTAAATTTCGCCCTTTCGGTAGCCAACCGCAAAGCCTGGAAATCGCGCAGTCCTTTCCGGAGCGCATCCGACCCGAGCCGAAGTTTCCCATCACCAATGGCTCGCTGTATACGAGCATCGATGGTAGGTTGCCGATCATCCACAACTATCGCCGTACCAAAGACAGAAACGGTAAAGTACCTACGCCTTGTTGGGTTGAGTACATTGACCGCCGTTTCGCAGGGTGCATCAAGACCATGCCAGCGAATTCGCTCAACGTCAACTTGCACTCGTCCCATCTGCGGCGGCAGGAGTACGTCCGGCCTCGCCGAATTCAACCCGTAATGCAAGAGCCACCGCGAGCCTCGTGCGACAAGTGCGAGATGCAAGGAGGCCCTCAGCCCTGCCAGGCGGCCCTCTCCGCCTTCGTGACTCAACCGAATGTGCGCCGAGACGTTAGCTTCAGCAAGCAGCGCACCATCGAACTGCGCAAGCGCATCAGTGTCAGCGAGGACAGTCTTTACCAGCTCACGGTTCTGGACAGCAGGTCTCCGGTACTCTCCAAGTCCGACATTAACCGACCGAGGCTCGTCAAGCGCAACAAGCTCGCCGGACGCATGACGAAGAGTCAAGACTGCCTGAACGATCTGCAGGTCGACCTGCACAAATTCAGGCAGAATCCCGAAGCCTTCCAGAAGCGGCAGGACTCCCGCCGGTCGGAGTGCGTGAGCTCGGACGAGGAGTACTTCACCGACAGCGTGACCGTCAACGACGCGAGCGGCGAGTACGACGAATCCTCCCAGAGCAGCTACTCTATAACCACCGAGGCGAATTGCGACTTCGACTTCTACCAGAGCAAGGCAGTCGACGGAATGCTGCTCGGTAAGGGTCGCGAGTCGGACGGTTACTCGAAAGGAGATCCGGCGAATTATAGAACGTACGCCCGAGCTGACCTCAGGATAACGAGGTCGAATTCCAAAAGGTCACTGGAGAGCTTTCAGGCGTACGTCGAAGGGGAGAACGTGGTCCAGAAGATTCAGCGCTCCAACTCGTTCATGACGGTCGGCGAGCACGATCGCAACGGACGTTATGGCGGTACTCGCCGAACAACACCGAAGGTGTGCACTCAGAACATTAAATATCTACAGGACGTCTACAACCAGAATGACCTGGAGGAGAAGCAATCGAAACCCGCCGCTTACAGCTTCAGCGTACCCGATTTCAAGAAGATTTTCATCTCGGAGTATATTTAGTTGTTTACCGGTAGACCAACATTCAATTTCTTGGATGACACCATTGCTCTTTGTAAGAGGTTCCAGTATACGTTAAAATAAGTCTTAGTGTAGACTCGCTCCGTTGCAGTTGTACATATCATGATGTAAATAATAATGACAATAAAGTAACGGAGTTATTGAAACTCGATCCCCCACTCCTGAACTCAGTGGAATGACGTCCGGTGTCATTTGGCGTATCTGGTTTACAGTAACACCCAGTATATCTTCTTAGATTTGAAACCAGGAGCTACTAAAGAGGAGGGTCCTAAAGACAAGTTTGAAGGCGCGTCTAAAAAGTCAGTTATAGTCTGAACGTTTGGGGCGGGGGTGGGGAGGGGGGGATCAGCGCGCAGGAGGATTCGATTACCTCCTCTTCTTGCAAACTATCATGACAATTAAGTTTCGAAAGAGGACCATCAAATCTCTCCTTTCTTGGGGGGGGGGGGGGGGAAAAAAAAAGGTACTAACCTGTCCCCCAAATTGCTTTTAAGAGAATTTTCTTGAAAATGTTGTAGGAATGATATCTGGAAGATATTTGACACACGAAAATTCTATGGGCTGAATGTTTTTGGACACAGAATGTAATACCGGGGAGGGGGGTCTGTGTTTCGACAGGATCATCAAGTTCCTCCTTTCATAGGGGACTTCCATTCCCCCCGGGCCCCTCGGTACTAAACTGTTCCCCAAAATGTTGCTTTAGAGCATGCTTTAGATACCTTGTAGGGAATTCTGGTTTTTAAAGGGTAGGTTGAAGGTAGAAAGTAACACCTGGGGGTCTAGGGGGTATGGAACGCCCCCCAGCATCGAGCACCTGGGGGGTGTTCCATAAGCCCCCCCCCCCTCGCTACTAAACTGTCACCAAAAATGTGTTTTTCTACAGTTTTTGTATTCATTTTCCGGTTCTAAAGTCCCTTCCTGCGTTGGGGCTTCTCTATGAGCTTTCCTGGATTCTCTAGGCGGTATCAAGCGGTTGCTGCGCTCATCCATATTTTCAAATGGCACGGAAAGTCTCCGAAAGCGCATAAAAATTCTGGAAACCAGAACTTCTGGACTTTTGGATTCTTTCGAGTTTTCTACAACCTTCCCTAAGCCGCCAGACTTCTTCCAGGGATATTAAGCGCTTACTACTCAGGACTCTACCTACAATCAAGTGATTTTTAGTCTCGTCTACCCTTGAAAAAACGCAGAAAACCTCTGGTAAACACTGGAAGACTTTGGAGGCCCCCTTCAACGCTCTCCAAAGTCTTATAAGCGAAATTCAGAAACGGCGGAGTTTCGTAAAGCTTTTCTGCACCCTCTCAATCCAACTTATGGCTATTATGGCTTTTTGAACTTTCTAATCCTCGCCCAGGGCCTCTTAGATCATTTCCAGGCTTTTAGGCGTCTCTATTCGTTTTTCAGTTCCGTTTACCCACTTTCTAGGCTCTCCTAGCTTTTGAAAGGGCTCTTCTGAACACTTATTCCAGGGTGGTTTGAAAGCAGTGCTTTCGAAATAACACTAGAAGGCTTTGGAAGTCATTTTGGGTGCTTTCCAAGGTCCTATAGGCAGCATTCTAAAAAAGAAAAATGTTCTGAAGCCTTTCTAGAGCATTTTGAGCCTATATAATCGCTTTCTAACCCATCCTAAAGCCTCCTAGATTATTTCCAGTGGTTTCAAATTTTCTCCATACAGTTGCCAGGGTTCTGCAATCGCCTTAAAAGACTCCGACATCTCTCTAAGGGGCATAAGTGAATCTGGAAAGCAGTAGTAGGCTTTAAAAGCCTTATGGGCGCCTTGCAGGACCTCTTAGATCCTTTCCAGACTTTTAGGCGTATTCTATTCGCTTTTCAGTTTTGATTTCGCACTTTCTAGGCTCTCTTAGTTTTTGAAAGGGCACAAAGGCTTTAGAAGCTCTTCTGGGCGCTTTCCAGGGTAGTTCGAAAGCCGTGCGGCTATAACTTTTCTACAACTTGAGCGCTTTCAGTCTATTCCATAGCTTTTATGGCGTTTCAAGCTTTCTAATACCTTCTCAGAGCCTTTTAGAAACGATCCTAACATTTTAAGCGCTCTCTCTTCATTTTTCAGTGACGTGTGGCACTATCTCGCTCTCCTAGTCTCTAAAAGGGCACAACAGGCCGAAGACCGCTTTCGGAACAACAATAAAAGGCTATAAAAGCTATTTTGGGTGCTTTCCAGGGTCCTTAAGACAGTATTCTAAAAAAGGAAAACTTTCTAAGGCATCTCTAGAGCATTTTGATCCCACACCGTCGCTTTCTAACCAAGCCCCTAGATTATTTCCAGTGGTTTTAAATGTTCTCCATACAGTTTCCAGGGTTCTGCAATCGCCTTAAAAGACTCCGACAGCTCTCTAAGGGACATAAGTGAATCTGGAAGGCAGTAGCCTTATAGGCGCCTTGCAGGGCCTCTTAGATCCTTTCCAAACTTTTAGGCGTATTCTATTCGTTTTTCAGTTCTGTTTGCTCACTTTCTAGGCTCTCCTAGCTTTTGTAAGGGCACAAAAAGAATCCGAAAGCTTTCACAAAGCCACTAGAAGACTTTAGAAGCCATTCTGGATGATTTCCAGGGTCTTATAAACGTAGTTCGAAAACAGTGGGGCTTTACATAACTTTTCTACAACTTTCGCGAGCACTTTCAGTCTATCCCATAGCTTTTATGCAGTTCCATGCTTTCTAATTCCTTCTCAGAACCTCGGATAGCTGGTCCTAACATTTTAGGCTCTCTCTCTTCATTTTTCAGTGACGTTTAGCACTACCAAGTGCTTTCTATGCCCGCCTAGACTTTAAAAGGGCGCAAAAGGCCCAAAAAAGCTTTCGAAACAACAGTAGAAATGTTTTAAGGCCTTTCTAGAGCATTTTGAGCCCATACCATCGTTTTCTAACCCATCCTAAGGCCTCCTAGATTATTTCCGGTAGTTTTAAATGCTCTCCATACAGTTTCCAGGGCCTTAAAAGCCCCCCACAGCTCTCTAAGGGACATAAGTGAATTTGGAAAGCAGTAGTAGGCTTTAAAAGCCTTATAGGCGCCTTGCAGGGCCTCTTATGATCCTTTCCAGACTTTTGGGCGTATTCTATTCGTTTTTAGCTCTGTTTGCTCACTTTCTAGGCGCTCCTAGCTTTTGAAAGGGCACAAAAGGCATCTGACATATTTCCCACAGTCACTACAAGACTTTGGAAGCTCTTCTGGACGCTTTCCAGGGTCTTATAGATGTAGTTCTAAAGCACTGGAGCTTTACATAACTGTTTTACAAATTTCGTAAGCACTTGCAGTCTATCCCATAGCTTTTATGCCGTTCCAAGCTTTCTAATCCCGACTGAGAGCCTCTAAAGGACCAAGAACGCTTTCGAAGGCTTTGAAAGCCATTTTGAGCCTTTCTAGAGGATTTTGAGCTCATGCCATCGTTTTCTAAGCCGTCCTAAAACCCCCTAGATTCCTTCCAGTGGTTTTAAATGTTCTCCATACAGTTTCCAGGGATCTGTGACCGCCTTGAAAGCCTCCGACAGCTCTCTAAGGGACAAAAGAGGATTTGGAAAGCAGTATAGTAGGCTTTGAAAGGCCTTAAGAGCGCCTTGCAGAGTTTCCTAAGTAGAATTAAAAAAAAAGCACACCTTGGATTAACTCTTGGGTGCTTTCCAAAGCGAAATTGTAAGGAAAGGTGAATCTTCCAGACTCTGAACCCGAATCAGCTTTTTCTATGCTTTCTGGGCCATTCCTAGAGCCTCTTAGTGACAACTTCCTGGGATTTTAGGTGCCCTTTATGCACTATACAGTGATCTTTCGGCCCTGTTGAGCGCCTTCGAGACTCGTTTAGCTGTGGAAAGCACCAAAAGCGTAAGAAACTCTGAAAAGCGTTTTTTACAGTCTCATAAGTACACTTCTAAGCCTGTTGAATTGTTTGGAGCTTTTCCACAAATATCACGAGCACTTTAAGCCTTTACCAAAGTTTTTTTATGCTTCTTCGCCACTAGCTAGTGCTTTCTAGTATCGACTAGCCTTTTGTATGCTTTTTTCATCGGAAACCAGCATGTTCTATGCTCTTTTGTACTACCTATACTCTTCCCTCCAAGATTCCTTCGAGTGATATTAGGCACTGGAGTCTGTCAAGCAGTGGCGGATTTATACTTTTGCCGCCCAGGGGCTTTGGGAAACTTTGCCGCCCCTAGATCATTCTTACCACAAAAATAGCCCACAACTTCATAACTCCTATGGCTAAAAAATAAAATGGCAATCTAAGGGAGTTTATTGGTTATTCGACTACAGAACAAATGCTTATAAGTAATAAGTATTTTTATTTGATTATTCAACAATTTATTGGATTAATCAAAACAATTTTCCGCCCCCCCCCCCAAATTTGCCGCCCTGGGCCCGTGCCCTTAGTGCCCCCCTCTAAATCCGCCTCTGCTGTCAAGTGCATTTTAGCTTTCTAGGTTCTTTGGAGGTTTTTAGACTCATCTAAAAAGGCATAATGAATTTCAACAAAGTACCTATAAGACTCTAATCGTTCTCAGTGTTTTATAGAGCATTCGAAAGCTTTCCAGAGCGCTTTTTAAAGCTCTATAGGGTCTTTCCAGAGTGTTTAATCAGAACTCTTGAGCTCTAGTAAGTGAAAGAGTTCCACTAGATAATTTTTATAGTTTTCAGGAACCTTCTCAGAACTTATACACCAACAAGGCCTCCCAAGATTCCAGAATGTAATAAATCCTCTTCAGTTCAAGCATTTCAAACCAACTGAAGGTCTCATATTATGTCGTTCTGTGTTTTCCATTTTTCCAGAGCCATCTGTCACTTGCAGATCTTTCAAGAAAATTTCCCAGCCTTGGCAGGTTCGCGGGGCTCTCGAAGAAATACACCAGAAAGTCATGTACTTTATTTAAAAATTACTGTATTTCGTATGCTTTTCTCAATCTACGGACATTATAAAGGTTTTTTTCATTAAATTTGAACGATGGAAGCCAAGAGAACTGCTTCAACAGCCGAATAGAAATGTCTTTGCTATACCATCAACGTAACAACGAGATTGAATTAATTCTGTTACTCCTTTAACCGATTCACGGATGGAGTTGAATGGAGAGGTAGGCGACGTCCATTTTCATGTTGCAAGTTGTGGAAAATGACGAATGGTGCTGGTTTCAGTGCGAATTTCCATACAGCTCAGGATTTTCAGGTGGGGAAACAGGTCCAAGACGTAGTGGTACCTCAATGCGCATATTCCTATGTGGAAAAGACAGACGAACTTCGCCCTAAAAACAAAATGGATGCGGCACGAAACAGTCGTTCCAAAACCTTCTAGTGTATACTCACCCTTAACTCCCAGAATACCTTGATCACATTGCAATTGGGCAATGAGGCGACAGACATGTTTGCGGGAATTTTGAGTTGAAGCTTCCAGAATTTCTCCACGCCAGGCTCCACGACACTGTTGACCACCGCGAACAGGTCCGTAGCGGATACTGTAATCTCTTCCCTTTTCGACTTGACATGGAAGGTGAAACCCTGCACGATCCTGAAGCGCAACTCGTTCACCGTCGTGCAGGAATCGTTTTTCACCCTCGCTACAAATCGAACCACCTGATTGGGCACGCATCGGTCGTCCGATAGGCTGACCGTAAATTGAATCGGTCCGCTGACGCCGAGCGAAGTCGGAATTTTCTCAATCGAGCGTTCAACGGGAGACTGAAATACCGTTAGTTGTATCAAAATTCGAAACAAAGTTGGAGCACTTAATTAACGAAATAGCGTTAATTAATTAAAAAAAGATAGGTAGGGATTAATCGGGAGGAAGTTTTAGAAGAGATTCGGTCTTCGGCTAACAAAGAGCTATCCACGCCAGTCGTCGGGAGTAGCCTTTGTTTTTGGCCCTTAGAGCCGAATCATAAGAAATTCCAAGAGGTAACAAAGTACAACAAAATTTGGTCCGGTACCAAGTGTTATTTCGAACATCCATTTTTAAACGAAAATTCTTCAACATCATGCGTATTTCAAGAGAATTTTTAAAAAACTTTTAACAATTTTTAATTGTAAAGGGGGGGGGGGTATATTTTCTCTTAAAAAAGATGGTTCAAACAAACAAAAGATAGGTAGGGTTAAATCTGGAGAATGTGTTTGAAGAGATTCGGTCTTCGGCTAAAAAAGTGTTATTATTCACGCCTACGACTAAAAAACCAAGAGCCATTTTTCACTCTATGGATCTTTAATTATTCTTAAATGTGCGTACCTCAAGAAAAATAAAATGATACTGTAAAAAGAACATCGGAAAGTCATCTCCGAAGCTTGAGCACTTTAAGAGATATCCAAAGTTTCAAAGATGCAAGAAATGTTCTGTAACAATTTATTTTCTCCATTAGAAGCATTATTATTTTTCCCGGTATATTTTCTTTGAATGATCCTCGTAACAGCTGTAACCTTGGAATTTGTTCACGCAACTTTTGGCGCGAAATTTTTCGGCGTTGCGATTTGTCATTCCCGACGGTTAACTTTCATTTTCCTCTTTCGACTGCGAACTGTGATCGAGTGCACTTGATTTTTATTGAACAGCAAAACGTATGGGATTTTAATTGCCGCCACCCATATAAATTGATATTTTCCAGCGACGATTGTTGCACGTTCATCTATAATTAGTCCTCTTAAAGAGGTATGTACATTTTAAGGTTATCACCGAAGATGGTTACCTTTGATTTTTTTTAGGGTTTTAGTTCTAATTTTGGATTCAGGTTTTAATTTCGAGTTTCAAAATCTCGTTTGTAAACAACCAGTTCCGATACGTTTTACATACGAATTTGGGATAACCTTGGCTTAAATTTACCATTTACCTGCGAGTGCCAACGCTTATGAACGTATTTTTCCACACTGCTAATAAGAAGTCTCCATTTTATCCGGGAATTGAGCTCACTGCTCTGGATAACATCTTATTAAATCAGGGTAAGCGTTTCCTTTTTATGTTTTGCTTGTACTTGACCTATACGTGCGTATATTTGTGTTCCAACCAATTTCTTTGCGTAAACTTGTGTTAAGATGAAGCACCTACCCAATTTAATCGATAATTCTTGATTGGAGCTTTGTATAACTGATCTGGTGAATCCGGCTTAGGATTACCAAATTATTGAAAAATCGTGGGGGGTGTGAAGGAATCATAAACCCGCTTAGAGGGTTTTAATTGGCCGTGAGGGGTTGTAGCAGGCCTCGAAGGATCTTGAAAGTTTGCCAAGTTTGCTGAATCGCTTCAGTGTTAAGGAATTAGCGTGCCACTCAGCATTACTAAATGATTGAAAAATCTTGGAGGGGGTGGAGGAATCATAAACCTCCTTGGAGGGTTTTAATTGACCGTGAGGGGTTGTAGCGAACCTCAAAAGATCTTGAAAGTTTGCTAAGTCTACCGAATTGCTTTAGTGTTACAAAATGAACTTGCAGCCCAGGAATACAACATTCCTAAAAAATCCTGGGGAGTGTGAAGGGATCATAAACCTCCTTGGAGGATTTAAGTGGAACCTGAGGGGTTGTAGCGGTCCTAAAATAATTTTGCAAATTTGAGAAGTGTACAGAATCGCTTTACTGTTGAAGAATGAGCTTGCACCTCAGGATTACAAAATCATTGAAAGATTCTAAGAGGTGAGAAGGAATCACAAACCTTCTTGGAGGGTTTTAATTAAGCGTGGGGGGTTGTAGCGAGTTAGGTAGCGATCCTCGAAAGATCTTGAAAGTTTGTCAAGTCTACTGAATTGCTTTAGTGTTACAGAATGAACTTGCAGCTCAGGAATTCAACATTCCTAAAAAATCCTGGGCAGTGTGAAGGGATCATAAACCTTCTTGGAGGGTTTTAATTGACCGTGGGGGGTTGTAGCGAGTTAGGTAGCGATCCTCGAAAGATCTTGAAAGTTTGTCAAGTCTACTGAATTGCTTTAGTGTTACAGAATGAACTTGCAGCCCAGGAATACAACATTCCTAAAAAATCCTGGGGAGTGTGAAGGGATCATAAACCTCCTTGGAGGGTTTAAGTGGAACCTGAGGGGTTGTAGCGGTCCTAAAATAATTTTGCAAATTTGAGAAGTGTACAGAATCGCTTTACTGTTGAAGAATGAGCTTGCACCTTAGGATTACAAAATCATTGAAAGATTCTAAGAGGTGAGAAGGAATCATAAACCTTCTTGGCGGGTTTTAATTGAGTGTGGGGGGTTGTAGCGAGTTAAGTAGCGATCCTCGAAAGATCTTGAAAGTTTGTCAAGTCTACCGAATTGCTTTAGTGTTACAAAATGAACTTGCAGCCCAGGAATACAACATTCCTAAAAAATCCTGGGGAGTGTGAAGGGATCATAAACCTCCTTGGAGGGTTTTAGTGGAACCTGAGGGGTTGTAGCGGGCCTAAAATAATTTTGCAAATTTGAGATGTGTACAGAATCGCTTTACTGTTGAGGAATGAGCTTGCACCTCAGGATTACAAAATCATTGAAAAATTCTAAGAGGTGAGAAGGAATCATAAACCTTCTTCGAGGGTTTTAATTGACCGTGGGGGGTTGTAGCGAGTTAGGTAGCGATCTTCGAAAGATCTAGAAAGTTTGTCAAGTCTACTGAATTGCTTTAGTGTTACAGAATGAACTTGCAGCCCAGGAATACAACATTCCTAAAAAAATCCTGGGGAGTGTGAAGGGATCATAAACCTCCTTGGAGGGTTTTAGTTGAACCTGAGGGGTTGTAGCGGGCCTAAAATAATTTTGCAAATTTGAGATGTGTACAGAATCGCTTTACTGTTGAGGAATGGGCTTGCACCTCAGGATTACAAAATCATTGAAAGATTCTAAGAGGTGAGAAGGAATCATAAACCTTTTTGGCGGGTTTTAATTGACCGTGAGGGGTTGTAGCGAGTTAGGTAGCGATCCTCGAAAGATCTTGAAAGTTTGTCAAGTCTACTGAATTGCTTTAGTGTTACAGAATGAGCTTGCAGCCCAGGAATACAACATTCCTAAAAAAATCCTGGGGAGTGTGAAGGGATCATAAACCTCCTTGGAGGGTTTTAAATCACCGTGAGGGGTTGTAGAAGACTTCGAAAGATCTTAAAAGTTTGCCAAGTCTACTGAATTGCTTTAATGTTACAGAATGAGCTAGCAGCCTAGGAATACACAACTTTTAAGAATCTTGGGGGGTGTAAAGGAACCATAAACCTTCTTAGAGGGTTTTAAATGACCGTGAGGGGTTGTAGCGGGCCTCGAAAGATCTTGAAAGTTTGCTAAGTCTACTGAATTGCTTTAGTGTTACAAAATGAACTTGCAGCCCAGGAATACAACACTCTAAAAAAATCCTGGGGAGTGTGAAGGGATCATAATCCTCCTTGGAGGGTTTTAGTTGAACCTGAGGGGTTGTAGCGGGCCTAAAATAATTTTGCAAATTTGAGATGTGTACAGAATCGCTTTACTGTTGAGGAATGAGCTTGCACCTCAGGATTACAAAATCATTGAAAGATTCTAAGAGGTGAGAAGGAATCATAAACCTTCTTGGAGGGTTTTAATTGACCGTGGGGAGTTGTAGCGAGTTAGGTAGCGATCCTCGAAAGATCTTGAAAGTTTGTCAAGTCTACTGAATTGCTTTAGTGTTACAGAATGAGCTTGCAGCCCAGGAATACAACATTCCTAAAAAAATCCTGGGGAGTGTGAAGGGATCATAAACCTCCTTGGAGGGTTTTAAATCACCGTGAGGGGTTGTAGAAGACTTCGAAAGATCTTAAAAGTTTGCCAAGTCTACTGAATTGCTTTAATGTTACAGAATGAGCTAGCAGCCTAGGAATACACAACTTTTAAGAATCTTGGGGGGTGTAAAGGAACCATAAACCTTCTTAGAGGGTTTTAAATGACCGTGAGGGGTTGTAGCGGGCCTCGAAAGATCTTGAAAATTTGCTAAGTCTACTGAATTGCTTTAGTGTTACAGAATGAACTTGCAGCCCAGGAATACAACATTCCTAAAAAAATCCTGGGGAGTGTGAAGGGATCATAAACCTCCTTGGAGGGTTTTAGTGGAACCTGAGGGGTTGTAGCGGGCCTAAAATAATTTTGCAAATTTGAGAAGTGTACAGAATCGCTTTACTGTTGAAGAATGAGATTGCATCTCAGGATTACAAAATCATTGAAAGATTCTAAGAGGTGAGAAGGAATCATAAACCTTCTTGGAGGGTTTTAATTGACCGTGGGGGGTTGTAGCGAGTTAGGTAGCGATCCTCAAAAGATCTTGAAAGTTTGTCAAGTCTACTGAATTGCTTTAGTGCTACAGAATGAGGTTGCAGCCCAGGAATACAAAATATTCTTTAAATCCTGGGGGGTGTGAAGGAATCATAAACCTTCTTGGAAGGTTTGAATTGACCGTAAGGGGTGGTATCGGACCTCGAAAAATTTTGAAGGTTTTCCAAGTATACTGAATTGCTTTAGTGTTACAGAATGAACTTGCAGCCCAGGAATACAAAATATTTTTAAAATCCTGGGGGGTGTGAAGGAATCATAAACCTTCTTGGAAGGTTTGAATTGATCGTAAGGGGTGGTATCGGACCTCGAAAGATTTTGAAGGTTTTCGAAGTCTACTGAATTGCTTTAGTGGTACAGATGAACTTGCAGACCAGGAATACAAAATATATTTAAAATCCTGGGGGGTGTGAGGGAATCACAAACCTTTTTGGAGGGTTTTAAATGACCGTGGAGGGTTATAGCGGGCCTCGAAAAATCTTGAAACTTACCCCAGTCTACGGCATCGCTTTAGTGTTGAAAAATTAGCTTGCAGCATAGGTTTACAAAACTATTACAAAATCTTGGGGGTGTGAAGGAACCGTAAACCTTCCTGGAGGGTTTTAATTGACCGTGAAAGGTTGTACCGGGCCTCGAAGGGTCTAAAAAATTAGCGCTTTGGTGCTAAGGAATTACCTTGCAGCCCAGAATTACAAAATTATGTAAGGATCCTAGGGCCGGGGGGGGGGGGGTTGTGAACCCTCGTGGAGGGTTTTATTTCACTTTTAAAAATTGTAACGAGCTTTGAAGGATCTTTCAGGGAATTGATTTGCAGGAACCCTAGAAGACTTTTTCTTGCGACCCACCAAAGGGTTCAATTGAGGTTTAAATTGTTTCAGAATATCCTCAGGGTTGTTGGACGAATCTACTTACAGCACTACTCATTGCGTTTAGGTCATTGCATGTGTACACTTCAAAGATTTTCTCGCAAGTGCAATCTAGGCTCCACTTCCTGTTGATCTTCACTCGGGCCTTGTACTTTATCCTCCCCCGCGACATTCCGCACGTCGCCTCCACTGAAGATGGTAAGTTTTCGGGCAAGTTCAACGTGAAGGGGTAAACGTAACGCCCCGGCCCGAATTTCGTTTGAGCTGAAACGATGGGCGTTAGGCAAATTTTTGAGGCTACCCTTACATTGCAATAGGCTGGATTTCATTTTAAAGAGTGGCTCAATCTTGGCGTACGTTCGCCCGTCTCCATCGCTCCAACACACCTTTGCCCTTCCGGAGAATGTTATTATTATATCTGAAAGTAGGTCTGAGGTACTACATCCTGTACGTATGTACTTACCTCTAACTATGCACTCTAGTGGGAAAGTGCAACAAACCTTTCCACTCACAGGATCTCCGGGCCGATACGTTTTTTTTTCAAATTCTATTTCGCACGAACCAAAAGCACACATCGTCGAAGGTAAGATGCTTGATTAGTGATTGATTAGAGTAAACCACATTGTAATAGATAAAGTGTTTTGGTCCGGTAAGTCAGGGTTTGGATCGAAAGTAGGATGGATTTATATAGATGGCGCCACACTTCACATTTACCTGCCACTAACACATTTTGTGAATGTCTTGGTACGCATGTTTCCAAAAAATATTGAAATCCTTCCAAAGAATTTGCCAGATTCAGAATTTTCAAAATTTTGAACAAACTTTTTCGAAACCGCTCATATATCCTCGAGGATCCTGAGTACTTTGGATATTCTGTCTAGAATGCCGTGAGTATCTTCAGCCTCCTGAACATAATAGGTAAACCATGCCAGAACGCCCTCTTTCGACGAAACGTTTACAATTCTATGTTGAGCCAAAACCTCAGTTCGATTAAAAATACGACAGGAAGGCGGCTGTAATTGCGGTTTATTCGTCAATTGAGCGAGTTTCCCTTCCCAGTTCCTATGGAAAGGCAAGAGTCGCGCATTTACAGGCCACCCGCCGACTTCTACTACATATGCTTCGTGCTCCTGATATACCTATCGGTGCTGAACGTATTCTTGATTGTGCTCGGAATCGTGAAATACGTAAGAAGCTACGGGTTGGAGTCTTACTTTATTTAAGTAGTAGACATTGGAGGCTGCTCAAGGTTCAATAGTTGGAAAGCTTGTATCAACCTTTAGGTTTAGTGTAGAAATGTGTTAAAGAAAGTAAACGATCTACTCCTACTTATTCATTTATTCCATCGTTCCATCTCTTTGTACCAATTCATAAAAAAAATTGTTTGAACATTTGGTCCTTCGAGCCGGATTTTCTCGGAGCACGCAGCATAGTGCGGGTTTGGCGTGGAGTGACAGCCGCGCCACTAACAGCACGGTCAGAATTTTAATTCGCGGGTTTAAAACTTTACGCGTTTGTTCGTATTCACCGTGATAGTTTCTAATTTGGAAGGAAGGTCGCCAATCTTTATGTCACATTTAAATTTTTACTCGTACTCAATTTCCCTGCGCGTCAAAAGTAATCCTAGGTCTAGATTAATAGAGTGCCAGATCAATATATAAAAACACCCTGCAGTAAATTACAGGTGGATAACCTAACTTCGCTTACGGTTCAACGCGCTTTGGCATGAGGGTGGTAATGAAACATTGGAACTTTTTCGGTTAGACTGCTGCCAAATCAAACTGTATGAAGATGATAAGGTACGTGCACCCCGCACATGCCATCTACAACATCCTCTTGTATTATCCACACGAAGAAATGTGCAAATCGATTACGGTATAGAGCAGTGACCAATCGATGGTGAAAAATCCGGCCGCTGACACTTTCAATTCGTAGTGCAACAATTGAAGTCCAAAAGCGTTGATCTGAAACATATATAGCAGAAAGAAATTAAGCATTCACCAGTAACTTACCTCTTTCCGCATGTTCCTGCCGCGGTTACGTGCTGCTAACTTGAAAAGCTTCCTCTTCAGAGTGTTAGCCTAAAATTATTAAGCATTGGAGAACAACCAGGAGTACATAAAAGGAAATCTTCTACAGTAGTTCTGTGCAGTCCTCCAAAGATTTTCGAGGGCTACACTCACTTGAGGTACTGCGATCCTGATACGGCAATTTTTAATGGAAAATTGTGCATCAAAAGAAAACCAAAAACTATTTAATGATAAAGGGCATATTTCCGCTTGAGATACTGGTATTGGTATTAATCTTGGTAGCAAATTTTGTATTAGGAGGGCAGAATTTGTGAAAAGTTGTCAAAAGGTGCGGCAGATGAAAACAAGTACGTTTTAGGTGTCAAGCAGTCTTTTAATGTCCTTTAACGAGTGTCTTTTGCAATGTATTAGGAGAATATAAGCAGAAAAAATCTTTCTGGACTCCTGATATAATTAATTGTTTGTGCAATAACAAGTAGAATTTGAAACTAAAATAATTAAAGCTTTACTCGCAATAAAAATAATTCTTATCAAGCGTTATCGGAATTTGAATCGCACAATCAACTCAAAGCTACAATCCAAACAATTAAACCGTAACTCCTGATAAAAGTACCTCTTATCGATTGGCCTCGGTGTCAGAACAATATAGGCCAGAAAGCATTAGTTCTAAGAAAGGGTTCAGTGCGAAGGAAATCTGGGAATCGAGTTATTTGCAGTCCTGATACAATGAACCCAGTATCAGGAAAATATGAGATTAGTCTTAACCACCCACGTACCCTTATCTAACCCATTTTCTAAAAAAATTGTACCGGGATCGCATAAAGGGCAAAAAAAAGGTGGAATATAACTTATTGACGGACAACTGTTACGTCCTCCTAATCGTAAACTTGATCCCAAAATCACTGTAGCGATAAGGAGAGACCAGGAAATCACTGATTACACACTATGTTCTCCTAATACAGCAGTTGACCACAAAACAACTCAAATCATGGTTCGCTTCTGAGCGCAGAACGCAGAACTTTACCATGTCCTCCCGCCCAAATGAGCTTTCTGTAGTCATGAGACAATTAATTACTTCCCAAGTATGAGGAGAATATGTCATGAGTCTAACTACAATGTTCCTTCTCGTAAAAACATCAAGTAGGTATTATCTAGCAGCATCTGTATCAGGAGAATAATTGGCAAAAGGATTATTCTAGGGAATTAGGTCGTTATACAGACATCTGCACTCCTAATACAATCAACTCTCCAAGAATCGAGAGAATATGAGGAGAGTCTCTTCAGAATACGTTGCAAAAAGGACTGGTTTAAGAAATATGACTGTACCAAGATAGTTAAATCTACCTGCGGTCCTGATAACACAAACAGGTTGACAAATATCAGGGCCATATGATACAAGTCTACCTAACATAGCTAAGTCGTTACTCTTAAAGATATTAAATCTTATCGAGATGCATCAGTATCAGGAGAACATGAGGAAGACAGAGTTATCCTAGGAAACTAAATCATTACTACCACAATTTACAGATTTGCACTTAAGCGCTTTTCAAGTATCTGTATCCGTTTTACTGCAATCTCCAAAAAACCACCGTGAGAGTACTGAGGCCTATATGAAAAGGGTTGTGGAGCTTCCCTTTTTTAGGTGGTTTTAAACCTTCACCGTGGTTTAACTCTTCCTTTTACTGGGGGTTATTCCATACCCCCCAGACCCACGAGTGGTACGATTTTTGTAGTGCTTCCAAGGGAATCTGATAATCCTTTCACAAAAGTGAAGGTTATGTGAGGTTAGGTTAGAGTGCTAGTTAGGTTAGGCGAGAAACCTTGTATCAGGAGAATATAATGTGCGAGGAGATTGAAGGTTAGGTTAAAGTATTAGTGAGGTTAGGTTATTGTGCTAGTTAGGTTAGATGAGAAATCTTGTATCGGGAGAATATAATGTGCGAGGGGATTTAAGGTTAAGTCAAAGTATTAGTGAGGTTAGGTTAGAGTGCTACTTAGGTTGATTAGCACGCTAACCTAACCTCACTAATACTTTAACCTAACCTTCAATCTTCTTGCACATTATATTCTCCTGATGCAAGACTTTTCACCTAACCTAACCTCACTAATGCTTTAACATAATCATCAATCACCTCCTCGCACATTATATTCTCTTGATATAAGATTTCTCACCTAACCGAACTAACACTCTAAACTAACCTCACTAATAATTTAACATAACTTTCAATCACCTCCTCGCACATAATATTTTCCTGATACAAGATTTCTCACCTAACCTAACTAGCCCCCTAACCTAACCCCACAAATACTTTAATCTAAACTTCAATCACCTCCTCGCACATTATGTGCTTCTGATACAAGATTTTTCACATAACCTAACTAGCATTCTAACCTAACCTCACTAATACTTTAACCTAACCTTCAATCACCTCCTCGCACCTTATATTCTCCGGATACAAGATTTCTCACGTAAAGTCATAATATATTTCATACGTTCTGCCTCGAAACATTCAGCCCCCAGTATTTTTTCCAGTAATCAAGGAGTTAACTTTGAACAATACCAAAGTGAGGGGTCTGGGGGTTATGGTATCAGGAGAATATAATGGCGTGGTATGTTATACCCCCTAGACTCCCCGGGGGTACGTTCGTCATTAGATCTTGGGGGGAAGGGAGTTATAAAATACCCCCCACTAGGCGAGAGTTTTATTACCATCTCCAAAAAACCGTCTTGAGGCTTGTGGCTGGGGTCTATCTTTGCTGGATGGTTTTAAACCTTCCTTTTCCTGGGGGGAATTCCATATACCCCCCCCCCGTGCTACGTTCTTTGCAGTATTTGCAGTAATATGCGACAGAATCGTTATCAGGAGAACATGTCGCAGAAACACGCAATATGTTAGATACAACTTTTTGCACTCCTATTACATTAAATGCTCACTTGCTAAAATAATTCTTATCGAGCCTCACGTGCATCAAAATCCTAGAATCAGCTCCAATTTACTGCGCCCTAAACACTTGAAATAACAAACTGGTTTACTAGGTATCAGGAGAAGATGAGGCCAAGATACCAACAGTCTTACCGTAACTATAACTCGCTCCGTGCTAACACCATATTTTTTTTATTCCCCGTCGGCATCTAAATCGTACAATTAACTCTAATTTGACATAATGCAAAGTATCAGGAAAATATGAGGTGAGTCTATTGGTAACCCCAATGTTACACTTGCGCGAAACACTTTCATTCTCCATTTTTGTCAGAATTATCTGCCTGTCAAGTACTAGGAGAACATAGGACTCACAATCCTACCATAATAAAGCTTCTACTCCTGCTAAAATAAAGCTTACTCAACCGCATCGCATTCTTATGGGGAATGGAGTGCAAAATGGCAATAAAGTGTCAATATAGAAGAATTTATTCACATATACATTCTGGTTTATTATATTCTCCTGGTACAACATTTTTTTCGAAATTATAGTACTTATCGGTATTAAGGAAAAGGGAGAATGTGCAAACATGTTACATTTTAATAGACCTGACAGTTCTCGTTTGAGCTATGTTGTATCAGGATCACATGAATGCACCTGCTAACGTATCCTTTTTTGGCCGGAAATTGTTGCAAAGGTATCACTGGATCGCGGAAAGACGTAAATAAGACATGTTACATTGATACAAATTCGCCCATCAATAATTAAGTTATCAGGATCACAGAAAACCAAGAACCCAATCTTGCATAGATTGCATTTCAGTTGCATAAAATCAATACGATATCAATTTTTCAGGATCTCAGAGGATGCAAGGGTGAGCTATTGATTACGAAGACCTTATCTTTCGTTTTATGTTCCCCTGATACAAGAGATTTTGGACCAGGAGCATATACCACTTTGAAAATTTGGAATTTGGAGACTGTGTGTAGTTCTGAGTTCAGTGTAAATTGTTTCATGTCTGACAAGTCTTCTTCAAAAACTTGACAAGGGCTTGGAGATTCTTACCCTTTTTTTTTGGAAATGAGGAGTGCCCTTTGTTCATTTTTTTGAAGGTTTTGTTATTGTTTTCGAGAATCTATAAACAAAACAAAATCCTATCGCGTGCCTTACAGTTTCTCATTCAATAATGGAAGGAAGTTATAATCGGGAAAGCAAAGTTCGTAGCGGCCTTCGCATTGACTTGCATTGAAAAACGAGTCGTGCATAATAAAACTATTCGCTGTAAATCAGGTTGCGGTCGGAGTTTCCCGTTATAAATTGGAAAAAAAATTAGTCGATAAGCGAATGGATTTTGGCCTGCAGCGATGCGAAGCGAGGAAATTGCCGAGCTTTTTGTATTGTGTAACAATCGAATCGCGAAAACCGCGAACGATATCGGAACGTAGAAACGCTCTTGTGCGGTCTCCAAAAATTGCGCTTAGCTTCCTGGCAAATAAACTTTTCGCTTTCGCGTGCCTTCAAAATTCCCTTCGGAAAGAATCCGAAGGATGGCAAAGAGGTATCACTGTTACCTTATGGAGCCTTTTTGAAAACACTCTGAACAAGGCTTTCCTGAAGACGCTTTAGAGATGTTCCGAAGTGCGCATTTGAAGGACTCCTCAACCCTTTATAAAATGCCAGAAACCTCCAAACGTTCACGTTCTTCCATGAATAAGGCTACATGTTGTTCTGTTTACGCTACGTAATATTTTAGGGCCCATTAAAGGCTTCAAAAAAAATGTCTGAAGGCAAGACCCTGAAGATTTTCTACAGAGGATTTGAAGATTTCTTCAAAATGCTCCTAAGAGCGTCACAGAAGTATTCCAACATCTTAATAACGTTCTGCCAACAAAAGCCCTTTTCAAGACTTGCTGAAGACATTTTTGGGAAGACATTCAGACTAGGTTTAAGGTTACTCTCCCTGAGAACACTTTTGAAAACTATTTTAAAGAGTTCTCTATTTTTGAAGATCATTAAAAAACTGTAGACACTTCTATTAAGGCTGTATTTGTCTTGTTCACACTCAGAAGACCTTTCAAGGCCTATTGAAGACTTTCGGAAAACCCTTGAACACACATGTTGAGAGTTACTCCCCAAAAACTCACCTTGAAGATAGTTTTAACATTATTTTAGATCATATTGTTCTTCCTTTAAAGAAAGAAGTCGTCTAAGAACCCTGAACATCTTTTAAAGAGTCTTCAAAGATTTTTTCGAAAGACTATCAAGGTTTCGTTTCTCTGTTGGGACCTCTGTGTGCATTTTAAGGAAAAACCTATCAAACGCTATGGAGGGTGGAAGAGAATTTGAGCCATTTTATAATACGGTTAAAAGTGTTTCCTGTTACCTTGCATAAAGGTTTATCGACCTTTTAAAGAATTAAAGAATTGCAAAGATCTTGAGAAGGGTTCCGTAAACATTTTGGGAACTACATCGCAGTGGTCATGTAGACCTTATGTCTCCTTCTCGGACAAATCTGGTAACTGGAGATTTTTCAAAGGTCCTGATTATCGTATGAAGTGCCCATGACGATTTTCTGCTTCCTTTTCGGAAAGGATTTTTATATTTTATGTGGACTTTATGATTTGGGGAAGAATGTAGAACCGGGGGGTCTGGGGGATATGGAATACCCTCCAGTACACAAAAAAACCCCGGTGCTACGATCCCCCATGGCACAATTAGTCTCAACGCGAACCTGGTGTTTCTCTTATGGTTCCTTTTCAACAATTATGTTTTATATTTTATGTGGACTTTATGATTTGGGGAAGAACGTAGAACCGGGGGGGCTGGGGGATATGGAATACCCCCCAGTACACAAAAAACCCCGGTGCTACGATCCCCCATGGCACAATTAGTCTCAACGCGAACCTGGTGTTTCTCTTATGGTTCCTTTTCAACAATTATGTTTTATATTTTATGTGGACTTTATGATTTGGGGAAGAATGTAGAACCGGGGGGCCTGGGGGATATGGAATACCCTCCAGTACACAAAAAAACCCCGGTGCTACGATCCCCCATGGCACAATTAGTCTCAACGCGAACCTGGTGTTTCTCTTATGGTTCCTTTTCAACAATTATGTCTTATATTTTATGTGGACTTTATGATTTGGAGAAGAACGTAGAACCGGGGGGTTTGGGGGATATGAAATACCCCCCAATAGACAAACAAACCCCGGGGCTACGATCCCCCATGGTACAATTAGTCTCAACGCGAACCTGGTGTTTCTCTTACGGTTCCTTTTCAACAATTATGTTTTATATGGTATGTGGACTTTATGATTTGGGGAGGAATGTAGAACCGGGGGGTCTGGGGGGTATGGAATACCCCCCAGTCCACAAAAAACCCCGGTGCTACGATCCCCCATGGCACAATTAGTCTCAACGCGAACCTGGTGTTTCTCTTATGGTTCCTTTTCAACAATTATGTTTTATATTTTATGTGGACTTTATGATTTGGGGAAGAATGTAGAACCGGGGGGCCTGGGGGATATGGAATACCCTCCAGTACACAAAAAAACCCCGGTGCTACGATCCCCCATGGCACAATTAGTCTCATCGCGAACCTGGTGTTTCTCTTATGGTTCCTTTTCAACAATTATGTTTTATATTTTATGTGGACTTTATGATTTGGGGAAGA